GCTGAGCTCCCATCTCCTTGAATTCTGAGACAAGAAGGAGCGACGGACAGACCTTACAAGTCGCTCACTGTTTTAGCTGATGTCAGAGCTAATAATAAGTCTGTTTTGAGCGACTGATATTTCAAGGGTATCTGGTCCAGAGGCTCGAACGGATTTTTAGTGAGTACACTGAGAACGAAGACTAAATCCCACTGTGTGTGTCACTGGCCTGAGCCGGCGCACACCTTTCAGAAAACGTTAAGTCAACTGGAGGGCTCGAACAAGCTTCACTAGGTCCAACAAGTACCTCTTAGGGCCATCCAAGCTTTAAGATCCTCGAGACACGATAAGAGGTTTAACGGACCATGCATCAACTCGCCTTAAAGGCACATAGATTTGGAAATCATCAGTGTAGCGATGAAAGGAGATGCTGTGTTTTCTAAATATCGATCCTAGAGGAAGTAGATATAAAGAAAAAAAATGAAGAAGAAAAAAGCAAAGGCCCCAAAATTGATCCCTGAGGAATCCCACATGACAAAGGAGCAGAAAAGGATTCACACCCAGCAATTTTTACAGAAAATGCTCTGTCTGCCAGATTGCAACATATCCCATACACCGAAGGCACACACCCTAAATACTGACTATGTAAGCTCAGCGGGAAACATGGCAACACATGCAGTCTCTGTGGCGCTAGTTGCAGCCCACACCTCTTATTCTGAATAACTACCTTCCTCAGAGTGCTCCAGGTGTTCTGGGTGGATGTTACAAAGTGTATAGATCTGGAGTAAAGACGTGCGTACCCCAACCCCAGAGCCATATGGCTAGTTAATTAAGAGAATTATGTTGGCAATCTAGATAGAAATTAATAATAATAATAATAATAAAGGTATATCATGCTGAGAAAAAATGACCTGTTGTCGATCTGTCTTAACCTGATCTATTTTAATCTGCTGATAATTTATCTTCCTAACTTGGTCATTTAAACTAAATTCTAAAAAGAAAATATCTACTGTTGTTTTACTGAAAAGAACGTAGAGGAATTTAAAGACATTTAAACAGACAGCACAATACAAACAAAAGGAAAATGTTACTGACCTTAAAAATCCAGCATTAATAGTATAGTACATGTAAATATTATTTATACTAACTGCACCATAATAAATTAACCCTTGTGTTGTGTTTTGTGGCCACACACATCAGCCATACATTTATTTTTGTATATATATACTTTTTTATTCATGTCGTTTGGTGCAGTTTTTAATTAGCTCTGTCAATAGAGCATGACCTCCTAAATCTCAGATTAGTGAGTTCGATCCCCCTCGATGGACCCGATACATTTTTGTATTAATTACTGATTTACAAGTAATTTCCTGGCACACTTATCGTTTTACATTCCGGAGGTCAGGAAATAGAAAAAGTTGTCGGTATATATCTATTGCGGATGGACTTTAGAAGTCCTCAAGATCCAGAAGCTGTTACTCGTACGTCTTCAGGTTAAATATAATTTATGTAAACTAGCAGCGCACGCTCAGCTCGAATTCGACTGCCGCACAATCCTCTGCTCCTTTAGCTGCTGTTTATATTATTCATGTTGTTCAAGTAAAAACCAAGAAAACTATTCCGTCCCTGAGTGGGTCAGTAATACACTGCGGTAAACATGTACTACCATATGTTTATATCTATGTGTACTACGGTAATGTTGCGGCGACACGCTGCGTGTTGCTTTTCAAAATAAAAGCTGAAAATAAAAGTCAATACCTGAAAAATAAATAAATAAAAGCTGTTAATAGCTAAAATATAAAAATAAAAGCCGTTAATAACTGAAAAATAAATAAATAAAAACTGTTAATTATGTATGTCTTTCTGCGAGTTGTCATTCTTGCTGTTATACATTCAGCAATTACTTTTAATGTCTGTGAATGTTGAGCCATATCAATTTCACTGTTATCTCTGGTTATATATGTGTTCATTATGTGAGAATGTCAAATATTTTTTTCTCCACAAAAGCTTCCATTATACATAAAAATAAAAAAACTGCTATGCTACTTTGCAGAAACAACTCACTTCCCTGGAAGACTCCCCAGAAGTTGCTCATCAAGTTTCACGAATATCTGATGTTGTGTTTCAAAATGAATGCCTTGCAAAATTGCACATTTTGCATTTTATTTTTCATGTGTTGCTGAGATTAGAACTCTTTACTTTGAAAATAAATCACCTCTGAAAATTTTTCACATTTTGCGTATTATTTTCCACAAGTTACTGAATTGATTGCTAAAAAAAAAAACCTGATAGATGGGAGAAAACCAGAGCCCTGTAAAGAGATGTTGACTTTCAAAGTAAATCACCTCCAAAGTTGAACACAATTCATTGTAATATTCATAAGTTGCTGACTTTCAAAGTTTTTGGGCAACATCTTGAGGCCTTCTAGAGTCAACCCGAAGTTAGAGTGGTTCCTGACATGGCAGAAAGACATAGACAAAATTAACAGCTTTTATTTATTTATTTATTTATTTATTTTTTTAGCTATTAGCAGCTATTAACAGCTTTTATTTTTATATTTCAGCTATTAACAGCTTTTATTTATTTATTTATTTAGCTATTAACAGCTTTTATTTTTCAGCTACTAACAGCTTTTATTTTTATATTTCAGCTATTAACAGCTTATAGTTATTTATTTTTCAGGTATTCTTTTATTTTCAGCTTTTATTTTGAAAAGCAACACGCAGCGTGTCGCCGCAGCTTTACCTTAATACATGTTGTAAACGTGCACAATTACGTCAGTGAGGGCTGCCGGAGCCAAGTGGAGGCTCACTTTACCGCAGTCAGCGCGGATGTTGACGGGCTCGGTCTCAAGCGGTGAAGTGGTGCGACATCAACTAAACTGTTCAATACAATAAAGAGGGAGAAATGCTATTTATTAGAGGACAGATGCCGTGTTTTTGTATGTGTTGTCTCTGTGGCGCAATCGGTTAGCGCGTTCGGCTGTTAACCGAAAGGTTGGTGGTTCGAGCCCACCCAGGGACGACCTCTTTTTTTTTTTTAATTCACTCGTTCTCTTCTTTCGACTGCACCCTTCTTTAGGGGTCGCCACGAAGACATGGTAATTACTTTTACGCCGGATGCCCTTCTTACCACAACCCTCTGTGTGGAGCAGAGAGCTGCTATCTAGGGCACCCTTCTTTATTCAAAATATAATTTACTTTTTATGAAAATACCGATTTCTGTTATTGTTAAATCATCATCAACTTTATTTATAAAACGCTTTAACAGCAGCCACAGCTGAAACAAAGTGCTGAACATGTTACAAATAAGATACAAGATAAAAAAAATTAAGATACAAAGCCAAGCAATGAACTAAAAACTCAGTTTAATACACAATAAAATGAAAAGTTAAACAAATTAAATCAATACCAATAAGTGAAGGGGCATGTCGAATGTGCAAAGGCAGTGTGTTCCATAACTTAGGGGCACTAACAGAGAAGGCCCCGTATCCTCTGAGCTTCCTCTTACTCTTGGGAATGGGTCAGTGGACCTGAGTCAGCCTCAGGGTAGAAGCTGTTCCTCAGTCTAGTGGTTCAACACTTAATGCTGTTCAACCTCCTGCCTGTGGGGAGCGGGGCAAAGCATGTGTGTGCTGGGTGAGTATGGTCCTTCATGATGCAGGTGGCTCTCTTCTTGCATCTGGAGGTGTAGATGTCTGTGATGGTGGGGAGACGAACTCCAACAGTCTTCTGTGCAGCCTTCACCACTCTCTGCAAAGCTTTTCTTTCTGCAGCTGTGCAGCCTCCATGCCACACGTTGATGCTGGAGCACAGGATGCTCTCCACTGCACACCTGTAGAAGGAGGTGAGGACTAATCTTTCCAGACCAGCTCGCCTCAGCCGCCTGAGGAAGTAGTCTCGGATGTGCTTTTTAGATCAGGCTGGTAGTGTTCACCTGTAAGAAGAAGTTCACCTAATAATCACCTGCACCCACCACAATTCCCTCAGATTCTGACACTATGGTTGTCAGCATAGTCTTAACATGCGGTTTCTTACTCTCAGGGGTGGGATATAAAGATTAACCAGTGTGACCTTCTCATTTTCTAATTTTCCTCTTACAGTTATAATTACAATTATCTCTAATTTATTTAGTGCATTCAAAGCTCATTCTAACCTGTATAAATAAAGGTTGAATGAAAAAAAAGCTCACATAATTTTTGAAGAGTATTGGTACCCCTCTTCTGGCTTTTCATACGTGCACTGTAGTATGCATTTCTATAATCAAATTTCTTGTTTCTCATCTTCTTGGGATAGATGTGTTTCTGGTAGATACATAATGCTGGCGTTCATTCTTCTCATTTTAATAATTACTTTACCATTTTTAACTGGATTATTTAACCCTTTCACATTCGTAGACACTAATGTTACATTATTCATCCTTTGTCTAATGTCAGTCCCTTCTTTTGGCATCCTGTATCCATAACAGCCAACATTAACAACTCTTATTAAAAAAATGCCATAATGTCAAACAGAAAAGGCTCTGTGAAAAAGTTTTTGTTTCCCACTTTTTTTATAGTCAGAACACCTGCACCGGTCAAAAACAACATTGAAGACAAATCAAAGAGGAAGTCTAATTTTCTCACGCGTTTCCGTATCTGATTTCTTTCTTCTTCAGTAGTCTGTGTAGATTTTGCTCATCTGGATTTATTTTGCTCCCTTTTCCTTCCCCTGCCAGGCTGAAGCTCCTCTCAGCTGCTCCTCCTGCTGCCCTGCTCCTCTGGGATAGTTTAGTAGGAAAGCCCCGACCAGCCTCTGCAAGCGCACTCCAGTTCCTTCTAGAGGTCTCAAGACAATACCAGGCCAGAATGATTACCGCATCCTCCAGCCCAAGTTTTCAAATCCTTATTTTGCTAATTAGTTGTTTTAATATAACTACAGAAATATTCACACATGTTCAACAAAAAGTAACCAGTCTCTTGTTACATTTCAGCTATTATTTATTAATAGTGATTGTCATTACCATAATTTTTAAAAATCTTGCTGCAACTTTTATACACTAATTTTAGACTGACATGCAAAAGTCAACAAATACTATTACAATAATAATAATAATCAAATAAGAATAATATAATACAGACTCTCAAAAATTATTAATGTCACTCGTCACTAATTACCACAGCATTCAAAATGTGATTCAGAAAATGTGATACCTACAAATGAGTTCTGAGTGTGCAAATATTGGATTTATAGGAAATGTAGTGTTTTCATGTGTACAGTGGGATAATTTACTAAAAGAAAAGTTTAAATTTTAGCATTAAATGCAGACCATTTATTTTATGTCTAAGATTCATAGTACAAGGCATCTTGCAAAGTGTTAAAAATGTCCTGGCAGGCCCCATCTACACTACTTTGGACACTTTTTAAACTAATGTTTTTTATTAATTTTGGAATGTGATTTTAACAACCTCTTGTTTTTTTTCCCACTAGAAACTGTTAGAATTATCTTGAGAGTTGCAAATGCAGAAGAATCTTTATTTTTTTAAATGTCTGGAGTTGTGTAGAAGGGGCCAAAATAATGTTGCTTTGTAGGGACTTGGTAGCTACCAATCTGAATGATTTACAGAAAACATTTGGAAGATAACTAACAGAAGTCATAAGAAGCAGTCAAATAGAGTGGTACATGGTAAGGATGAGAAATAACTTCAGGATTTTTTTAGGATCTTGCTCCATTTCTCTACTGTATTCACATCATTTGATGACTCAGGGTTTGTTGTCTTCAATTTTAGTTGATTCGGTGTGATCCTTCTGTGACATGTTCAGGGCAAGCTGAATGGCCCAAACACTGAGGGGCCTCATGTAGGCCAGGGAGCGAAAGATGCTCTTCTCACAATAGGCTTCCGGAGTCTGAAAGGCCATGCCCAACCTCTCCCAAACTGTCCGGTAACAACCCTCTGCCGTTCGCATACCTTCTGCCCACATACCCTAAAGGAAAAGAAAAAAGACAAACTGAGACACTTTTTAGCCACAAACACAATTATCAGCTCAAAAATACCCTTGTTTAAATATAAAGAAGGGTCTCTAACACAGTTGAGTGGAGTCATTAGTTTTGAGGGAAATCAGCTGAAATAAAACGCATGGATTCAGCACGCTTCCGTCAGGAGATAAAAAAGAAAGACTAATGACCAATCTAACACAATGATTTACAGATTTTTGCAGGAATACTCAGCTGCATAATATCATAAAAAAACAAAACATAATTTATCCATCCATCCATTATCTTCCGCTTATTCCGAAATCGGGTCGCGGGGGCAGCAGCTTGAGCAGGGAGGCCCAGACATCTCTTTCCACAGTCACCTCTTCCAGCTCTTCTGGGAGGATACCAAGGCGTTCCCAGGCCAACCGAGAAACATAGTCTCTCCAGCGTGTCCTGGGTCTTCCCCGGGGTCTCCTCCCAGTTGGAAATGCCCGAAGCACCTCTCTAGGGAGGTGCCCAGGGGGCATCCTTACCAGATGCCCGAACCACCTCAACTGGCTCCTCTCGACATGGAGGAGTAGCGGTTCTACTCTGAGTCTCTCCCAAATAACTGAACTTCTCACCCTTTCTCTAAGGGAGAGTCCAGCTACCCTGCGGAGAAAACTCATTTCAACCGCCTGTATCCACAATCTCATTCTTTCGGTCACTACCCAGAGCTCATGACCATAGGTGAGGGTAGGAACCTAGATTGACCGGTAAACAGAGAGCTTTGCCTTAGAGCTCAGCTCTCTCTTCACCACAACGGACCGGTACAGAGTCCGCAATACTGCAGATGCTGCACCAATCAGTCTGTCAATCTCACGCTCCGTTCTTCCCTCACTCGTGAACAAAACCCCAAGATACTTGAACTCCTCCACATGAGGCAGAACCTCACCCTCGACTTGAAGAGAGCCATCCAGCCTTTTCCAGTTTAGGACCATGGCCTCAGATTTGGAGGTGCTGATTCTCATCCCAGCCGCTTCACACTCGGCTGCGAACCACTCCAGTGAGAGCTGAAGATCACGGTGCGATGACGCCAACAGGACAACATCATCTGCAAAGAGCAGAGATGGAATCCTGAGGCCACCGAACCGGAAACCCTCTGCCAGCTGGTTGCACCGAGAAATTCTGTCCATAAAAGTTATGAAGCATGTCAGAGCATGTTTCCAACAGCTGCTAATGACACCAGCAAGGCCTGAGATGCTCCAGTGACTGAGAGGCTGATTGTTTCCTCAAAGTTCACCTATCATCGGTTGGAGGGACGAAGGTCCGGACACTGGCTCTGAAGTCAGCTGGGATTTACTACTCTGCGGAGTGATGGTTCTGGTTCGGTCCGATTCTGTATCTTTCTCTCGTCCTGAGACGTCTGCAGAAAGGATGCTTCTCTCTCCAGTTCTCTGTGCAGAAACGTGTTTCTCTGGAGTTTTCTGAGCATCTCTCCAAAGTGTGTAGTGTGTAGAAGTGGTGTGAAGAAAAAAAAAACTTAGCTGTCTGTGTGTTTCAGAGATGAAGGTCCACCTCTCGGAAGAGGTAGTCCTAACTCTTGGCTTTGTTAAATAAAATCTAAAGTCCCTTTTTCTCTGCCTGGAAAGTTTTCTTTTAAAAGAGAAAATAAGACTAATGTATTATCTGAAAGAAAGATTACTTAAAACACACATTTTCATGAATAAACATTCAGGTATGATATATTTTGAAAGGACATCTTTGAATAAATAACATGCAATGTTTCACCAAAAGATGTCGCTGTTCATCTCCTGAAAAGGGATGTCATTAAACAAAGGGTTCTTTAGTGTGTTATCTTCATGGGAACAAGTTCTGGGAGGAATACTCCTTTTTGATAAAGGTGAAGTCAACATAGCAAGTTCGGCTGTTTCAAAACGTCGAGGTCAGTTGAACCAAAAGCTCATTAAAACGATCCGTCCGTTTCATGGGAAATGAGTTCATATTGACAGTGAAGTTAACAACACAGTGACAGTTTTTTTTATACTTACATTAGTGTAAACTAAGAAGTTTGCGCTGAGTTGAATATTTGTAAAACAATGTCTGTTTGTTCCCTAGGAAACAGATTAATCTTATTTTAACAGTTTCAAACACAAAACACAGGAATGATGTTTGTTTAAGGTGAGGTGAACTGCTTCTGAGGTGGTGTTCCCTACATCAGAGAGGCCGTTCCTACCAATCACGCCCCTCCAGCTCACACTGTCATTACCCACATGGGCATTTAAGTCCCCCAGCAGAATAAAGGAGTCCCCAGCTGGCGCACCTTCCAACACCCTTGTCAAGGACTCCCAAGAAGGCCGGATACTCTGAACTGTAATTCGGCGCGTAGGCACAAACAACAGTCAGAGCCCGTCCCCCCACCCGAAGGCGAAGGGAAGACACCCTCTCATCTACCGGGGAAAACTCGAACACACAGGCACCAAGTCGGGGGACTACAAGTAGACCCACACCAGCTCGACACCTCTCACCATGGGCAACTCCAGAGTGGAATAAGGTCTAACCCCTCTCAAGGAGATCAGTTCCAGAGCCTATGTTATGCATCGAGGTGAGCCCAACTATATCTAGTTGGTACCTCTCAACCTCGTGCACAAGCTCAGGCTCCTTCCCTGCCAGAGAGGTTCCATTCCATGTCCCAAGAGCTAACTTTGGTAAGCCAGGGTCAGAGCGCCAAGGTCCCCGCCTTCGGCCACTGCCCAAGGCATCATGCACCCGACTTTTATGGCCCTTCCTGCTGAGACGTAGAATTACTTAAAAAATTAATGGTATAGTCCAAATTGATTAAAATACAAATACACCTCAGATACTTTTTTTAGGAGTTGACTTCTGCTGATTAGCATACAGTAGTTCTTAATATGTTCAAATATCATTTGTTTAATGTGTTTAGTTATAAATAAATAATTTGGTGCCTAAAAATAATACAATCATTGTGTGCAGGGGCATAGGTGGGAAAAAACTGTTCCAAAACTGGCTGCTCTTATAAAGCAGATATTGCCAGCTTCAATTTTAAACAAAAGGAGGCTGAAAGGTTTTATCTATCTTTTTTGTGCAGATAGCTTAGCTTAGTTTGTTTCCCCAAATACTTGATGATCTTTATCATTTACTCTGTTTTGTTTTCTTTAAAGTTAAAAGTCAAACACACACATACAAAGAAAAACAAAGTTTATTAGTGACAGGATCAGGATGAAGTGAAACAGATGTAGGGGGGAAAAACTGTAAAATGTCTCCATTGTTGTTATGGTTTCTAGAACTTAAAGCAACAGTGAGCATGTGCAAAATGTGCTGCTAGGTCATTGTTTCTCCAAAGCCTCTTATCTCCAGGTCCACCATAAACTGAATTTTTACTTGTATTTTTTCTTACCAGAAATGTTATTTGCCTGTAGGCAAGAGGTGCAAATGTAGCGTAAAATCTCAGATTTTCCAGAGTCCTGGTAACTGTTGTTTATGGGGACCTAAAGATAAAGCAAGTATTTACATATGTATACATACTTACCTCATGGATCATAGTAGCTGCCAGTCCATACACGACTCCAATCCAGACCTCGTCTGATTGGACACTGGAGCGGTCGGGCACTCCCTCGGGGCGCATGCCGTTAACAGCTCCCATCTGGCCTTCAGCAAAGCCCATCACATTCAAGTCAAAGACAGATTTCAGTGCACTCTGAATCTTTTCTTTAGGAAAAACCTGGGAAAAAAGATACACTAGTGTCACTTTGATATTATGTACAAATCTGACATTTTCAACCGAGAGCTTAAAGACGATTTATTTTTTCCAAATATTTTTAGGTAGATCACAAAAATGTGGCACAGAAATGTTAATTTAACAACAGAGTTGTCATTACGCAGCTATACAAGCTAATTGCTAAGCAAAAATTAATTTACATCTAAAAAGATTTTAACAAGGGGGTTTAAAATTTGTGTACTTTTGTTTAAGGTAACGCTGTTTCTAAACAAATATTTGCAGCAATATGAGAGTTATCCAGCAACATAAAAAAGATATTGTTGATGGGGGAGAGGGTGGGTCCCAGAGGCCATCTTATCACCAGCAAACTGTTTTTTTTTCCACTATGGGAGTGTGCGGTTTGTGGGACTCAGTTTGTTTGTGGCTCCTCAGATTGAAGAAGTCCTTTGGATAACTAAGTGGCTTATATTGTTGTCGGCGCCGGTTCACGCCCCGGCCCTGACAACATCAAAATTGTGGGTGGGGTAGGTGAAACACCCACACTTGCCCCCACCCTCATTAGCCCCACTCTGGGCCCATGAGCAAGGCCCTTAACCCCACCATGTGCTCCCTAAACAGGTCTCTCTTGAAAATGAGTTCTCGTGGCTCAATGAGACTACCTGTATAAATAAAGGCTAAATGAAAAAAAAATATATAATACTGTAAGATTTTTTTTTTTTTTTTTTTATCAACTTGCCTGGTAGTCTCCTTCTCCCAGACCAGATGCTTTGAGGAACCAGTGACCAGCACATTGGTCAGACATGATGCTGTTAGAAAGCTGTCTCCCACTGCTGTCGTAGTTATAGTACTTCCCTAAATATCATGGGAAAGAAAACCATGAGGAAGTTACATTAAGTTAGAACGCACGTAAAAGCACTCAAAAGCAAAAAAAATATATAAATAATTTTAAACCTTGACTTGAAATAACTGATGATGAAAAGTGAGTTCTATTTATTCAGAAGACAACTGCATACAGTTTTGAATAAGTTAAGCGTTAATGAATATGTTTATACTTGTTCACATTGACCATCTAGACAAGCTGATAAAATATTGTAAACTTGTCAGCAAAAGTACTTTTTATTTAGCAAATT